TTCAGAATAGACTACACGATAACCAGTATCACAATTTGACTAAATGCCGATTAGAGAAAGAGTATCAATCTTTCGCATATGTTGACATCTTGCGTGATCTTCGGCGACTACTGTAAATCGATTTTAAATGTCCTTATAAATTCACATATTTTTTGTGGAAAACATACAAAAACTTATCATTTCTCGTACTCGTTTGGTACCAGTGAACGTCTTCTGACAATCTTATATTTGCAGAAACGGTACCTGGCTGGCAGAAAAATCTTAATGAATATCATCTGAAAGGCAAGAAAGCCAAAATTACGTGTACCCGTCTTGATCATTTAAAATCAGGCATAACCGAAAAGCGTACTGACCTGCCACGTTTCTTCAAATGGGACGTCCTCAAATTCAAACACATCTGAGTTGGTTGCAGAAAATTTCTGACCTTCTTTTATCTATACATATACATGTATTCGAAAAATGGCTAAAGTGAAAGCAACCTTAAATGCCACTGGGTAGTGAATGAGATAAAGATCTAGGTACGCAAGTCCCAGTTTGCGCAAGCTTTCCTCACACGCTGGACGAACATCATTACGACGATGCTTATCGCACCATAACTATCAGCAGAGGTAAGATTACAAGTGTGGAATACCTTTGATGTGATGAACATATCCTCGCGTGTCACAGTTCCATCCTCAATCTTCTTCCTCACGGACCTTCCGATATCGTCCTCATTTCTGTATATATGAGCACAGTCAATATGCCGATAGCCTGCCTCAATCGCCCAAAGTACCGGTTTTTCCACTGCATATGGAGTTGTCTAAAACTTGATAAAGTATAGGAAAACTAACTGAAAACGTGCCAAAACCAAGTTGAGGCATTTTGTAGCCGGTGTTCAGCGTCAAGAAGGTCTGTTGAGGAGCCATTGCTGCAATACGCTTTGTGCTACTGCGGAGAACCGTTGATATTTCAGCGCGATAATGCAGCTTCTTAACGGCTTTCGTGTCCTTCCGACTCAACCAATCACAGTTGCGATTCATCAAAAACATGTCTGATGAACAAATTGTGTCACGTGCTTAGATAAGCCTCTGACCATTTAGTACGCTACGGGCAGGTGTTATTTCGGCGTTGAATTCAACGACCTCTCTTATTTCTAGTGCATTCAGTAGCCCCCGCATTCAATTTCTAATTACTATTCAGCCTCCTATGACTGAAGGACTAGAATTTAAGGAGAAACTTTTTTCTGCGGTTCTAAATAATAGACGAAAGAAGAAAAGAACCGGAATCATGGAGACAGTAGTAGACCGGGAGAGGTATATTTGTGGTCTGACGTTTCGAACAGTTATCTCGACTAT